AAACCGTTTTACGTCTTTGTATATTCGGGGCTAAAAGAATTAACGAGCAAGTATAGCTTCCGTATTATCTTTGCTTAGGTATCCACAAGCCTTCGAATTGTAGGTGTCTTAGATGATCTTTGTACGTAAGGGTTCTATTTTAGGGACTTATAGCCTTTTTCGGAACATTAAGTAGCTAGCTAGAGAGAGAGAGCATTCTGATATCGAAACTTTAAGCCGCAAATCGGCAGAGAATACTCTTTTCTTTTTGCGAACACACTCAACTATCCGTTCGTACAACTTATCGTCTTACTAAGCAACGTTCTATAGCTATTCTAGTTCTATTAAGGCTTCGACTATAGTTCCCGTGGAAGCAACTTATATAGGCGAGGCTTGAATCGAGTCTAAGTGTAGATTGCGTAATGTGTGTAGCTTAAGCAATTAGATCGTATAGTATTTAATCTTCTCGTTTATCGCTCTTTTAGGCATATCTTGTTCTCGTTTTAAGAGGGCATCGGTATGTTCGTTCGTTTTACCGGGGATGTATTGAATTGTGAAATTATACCGAGAAAGTATAAGAGACTATTGTATTTACTGCTCTATAAGCCTTTAAGCTATTATAAAGTATTCGAGATTCTTGTAGTCCGTACGAATCTCGAATTCCTTAACGCTTTGTAAATCCGCGTCCTATTCTTCTAAGTACTATACGATTATAAGCATTTCTTTGTTATAAATCTCGTAATTGCATTCGGCTAGGGAATTCTTTTTAGAAAAGAAAGCGTAAGGGTAGAACATCTAGTTATAAGGAGTAGGGCTTTTATAAACATCTTCTTTAGTCGACCGAAGGCATCGTCGCACTCTTTCGTCCAAACAAACGTCTTATCCTTATAAGTAAGCTAGGTTAAAGGCATCGCTAAGTCCGAGTAGTTCTTAATAAATGTCCGGTAGAAGTTCGCAAATCCTAAGAAGCTTCGTACGCTTGTCGCCGTAGTAAGGGGGTTCTATTCCAAGATTACTAATACTTTTAATAGATCTATACTAATACCTTTTCTAGCTTCGATAATAAATCCGAGGTATTTAGTCGTTTTAACCTCGAATTCACACTTATCGATATCTAATTAGAGGTCGGCTTCCCGCATCCTTACTATTACCCTTCGTACATACTCCTAATGTTCGTCTAAAGAGCTATCGGTGTAAACTAAGATATCGTCTACATACGCAGAGCAAAAATCGTCTAAGTAATCGCGTAGCGCCCAATTGATATATCGTTAGAAGGTACTTAGCGCGTTGGCTAGACCGAAAGGGGTTACTATCTATTCGAAGAGCCTATACCTCGTACGGAAGGCTGTTATCTACTTGTCTCCTTTAGCGATCTGGATCTTGTGGAAAGCGGCAATCACATCTAGCTTCGAAAACCACTTAGTTCGTCCGATGCTCTAGAGCGTCTCGTAAATTAGTGGCAACGGGTATCGGTTCCGTATAAACCCTTTGTCTAAATACTCAGTTAGTGTCTTTCGTAGAACCAAAAGCTCATCTCGTGATATATTATACAAGGGGCCTCATAGTACTTTAGGGTCCTTCCCGTCTTGCTTTTCTAGTTGAATCCTATAGTCTATTCCACTCTCACATAGTAGTAGGAGCTTGTTGGCTTGTTCTTAGCTAAAAACATCTAGAAAATCGTAGTACTACTTCGGTAGCTTTATACGAGGGTTAGTCTTAGCTTTTGTCCGCAACGCTTTCGTAATATTTGTAAGACTAGCTATAAACACTTCCGTCTTACTATATCGTTTCCCTAAAGACAAACTATTGAATGCTATAGCTAAGACAGCGACGTAGTCTAGATTATGCGGAGCTTTAGCGATATAGTTCCGTACGATAGTTCTAGTAGATAAGATCTTAATTTCCGATCGAGGGGCATTAAGTCGTATATCTTGCTTAGTTATCTATAGCATCTCGAGGATTAGATTGTATAATACTAGCTTAGGGGCAACGTAGAAGTAAGCCTTGCTTTCTATATATCCATCGATATTAACTAATACAATAGCGACTTCCGTAATATAGCTTTCTGATTTTGTTTCGAATCTAACCATATGAATCGGCTTATTAATTGGAATGCGTTTGAGTTAGTGTTTGGTAGCAAAGTGAGAGTCAATTAGTCTGTATGATAAACAACTTGTATCTACGAGTGTTTTTGTAAAGCAATTTCTATTTACTAATGTAGAAATAAGGAAAAGTGGTCCGTTTATAGACTTCTAAAACTCCGGCTATTTTTCTCCCAAAATCACCTTCTTCTTACGCTTCTAGCAACGTCTTTTACTAGAAGCTATTCTTTTCCTAAGCCTTTATCTGAACTCGCCTCGCACGCTTCTTCTTTTACTCGAGGGGGTAGTGTCGTCTTCGACTCTTTCTTGGCTATTGCCGTTCGGAGTACCTTCTTCTTTTGCTTAGTCGGAGCCGCAACCTTTATGTTGTAACCACGGACCCTATAGTTAGAGTCACTACACTATAGGCAAAGACTTTCTTCCCTTCTCCTTTCTATTTCTTTGTTAGGAGCCCATCTTAGCTCTCTTATCCTCGTGCGAACGGTGGATACGCTTATAGTTGGTTCCCACTCTATAGCGTTGTGGGCTAGGCTCTTGGTTTGGGTCGGAACGTTCGTACGATTGTTCTACTTCCGTCCGAAGCTATTCTTCTTTTCTTTGACTTCGTCTAATTAATCGGACGTTATTCTTAGCTAGCCGTAGTACTCTTCGTACGTTATAGCTTCGCGTGTACCTACTATAGTGGTAAGTAGCGTAGTTGAGATGGCCGCCTTAAGATATCCCTTTTTAATGTTGTCTAGCCATCCCTATCCATCTGCTTCGAGAAGTAATCGATCGAACTTAGTTAAGAATTCTCCGTACGGAGTCGTACTTTGCTTGGTTTTATTGATTTTAGCTAAGGCTTTCTCTTGCGTACGAGGGTCTCGGAACGTAGTGTCCATTTATTGAAAGAGAGCTGCAACTATAAGGTTGTTTATACGCTTTGCATACTCTATCTAAGGAAAGACTCGGCTTACTCCTTCCCCTTTTAGTCGTCCGAAACCGTACTACACCCTCTCTCGTTTACCACTAATCGCTTCTCCGTCGATTTCGAGCTTAGCTCTCAAAGAGCCTGCAAACTAAGGGTATAATGTTTTGTTTAGTCTATCGTACTTCGTAACGTCCGGTAATACTACCTTAGATCTTCGTACAAGCACTATCGGGGCCGGAGAGGCTTGGGGAGAGGTGTTCGTACTTAGGGTCGTCGGGGTTAAAAGGCTAGGGGTGTTTTATTGTGTCGCTAGATTGTCCAATTTGTCTGCTATAGTAGCTATCTAATCAGACTACTTACTAAGCAAGTCTAATAGCTATTAGGGAGCCTCTAGCACTTGCGGCGTATCTTATTCTATTATCTTCGTACGTATATTCGTACGTATCTTGTCTGTTGTCGGATTCTTCGTCCTAGTCTTCGATAGCTAAGCTTTAAAGGGCTTAAGGCGTCTATCGGTCGTCTTCGTACGACAGCCGAGCTTTAAAGGAGGGGCTCGAGGCGTCTACTATTATTCGTTTTAGTCTTTGATAGCTGAGCTTCGGAAGAGGGGCTCAAGGCATCTATCGGTTTTCGTCTTCGTATAGTAGCTGAGCTTTAGAGGGGCTTAAGGCGTCTACTAGTCGTCTTCGTTTGTACAACCGTTTAGCGTAAAACGCGATTAAAGTCGTACGTCCTTAAGTCCTAGTAAAAGGGTGGAGGAAGAGTTAATTCTAATGTCACGAGTTGGATGCAATGAGTTAAAGCAAGAACTTGATTGTATTATAAGAAGAATTAACTAAAGAGAGAAGAGTTCTTTCTCGTACGAAGAGCTATTTTAAAGGGGCTCTCGCTAGTTCGTAGAATGGCCCGCGCGCTTTAGCGTCGCGTCGTCATGTGCAGGCCCGCGTAGTCACGTGTAGGCTGCACTACGTAGTAGTGCAGCTAAATATCGGGTTCAACCCGTTACAGAAATATTAAAATTATATATTAAAATATTAAAATAAAAAATATAAATTAAAATTTTTTTTTTTATAAATTTAATTTTATTATTTATTATATTTAAATTAATAATAATATAATTTATTTATAAAAATTTTTATCGTAAAATTAAATATTTAATTTTTATTAATATTAAATAAAAAAAAAATTTTTTAAATAATATAAAAAAAAATTAATAAATTTTTTTATAATAAAAATAAAAAAAAAAAAATTTTTTATGCGAATTATATATTATTTTAAGTTTTATAATTAAGAAAAAAATAAAAAGCTAATAATTTATATATTTATAAACCCTGAATATTATTTTATCGTAAAATAAGAATATTTTTATTTCCGAATTCTGGTATAATTCGTGATGAATTCGAGCACGAAGCGAGCAAATAGATAATACGAAAACTAATCAATGGCATTTTAGTTCTTCAGAAACAGTAGATCAAAGATGATTTTGCTAAATTTACTTGCAAAATAAGGAAAGCAGATATAAACACGCTCAAACCCACGTCTTCACTGAAGTGGATGATCCGGGAAAGCGAAGCAGTACTTACCGCTAGAGAGTCAGAACTAGAGATTAGAACTAGAGGTATGATTTATTGAATCTTGAGATTCTTTTCAAAAGTGCTGCGTTCTAAGAAGCAGATTAAATACTAGTCGCAATGTGGAACTGTACTGAGTTATAGCAAAAAGCGGTAAAATCATCTGGTTAGATATAACTGGCTCTCTAGAAGAAGGACAAATCAATAAATTATATTATTTCTATTTAAGCAATCTCTCAAGGGGACTCGAGGGAGTGCAATTCAGCAGTGTCAATCGCTATGCCAAACTTTCCGAGTCAAGCTCTAAACATTACCAATCACACAACCATCGTGAAGAGATTTACCCATTGCCAGTCGTCCCCTGACAACCAATACATGCTCAGATCACACCACCGTGATGCATGCACGACTCAGACAATGAGTTCCTAGGATCTCAAATGACTAACCATCGCCGAGTGACCTCTTCTGCTAGCTCTGTATTTCCAGACATGGAGTATATCGCTTGCAAATTGTAAGCAGTGTCAAGTACTAGCTTCTCGTGCGTGGGTTGCTCCGGTACGCCGGAAATTTCGTCGAATACTTTCTGATAGAAAGGGATCGCAAGGTGAACAAGACCAAGCATATGATATACTCGTGCCATGTTATAGTGGGCTTCTTGCCTCTCTTCACTACGAGGACATTGAAGTCGTAACTGATAGTATACCATCATAAAGGACAAGCCCTGAATTATGCTATATTGTCGATTCTCGGTTTGCCTCTTGAGAGCATGGTGGATACATGCAAGGCCGATGTTGAGATTGATCATTGGGTTGCTGGGGTCTAATGCGTATGCGCGGAAGAAATAATCTTTGATTGTGAGCCAGGAGCATGTGTAGGATGAGGGTAGTAGCTTACTCAAAGCGTATGGGTAGCTCCCACCCGTGAACAATATATGGCCGTACAACATCAGAAGCGCAACGTCCATATCTGAATTGATTATGATATGACCCTTACTATCCTGTGCGGAATAAGAGCCTTTATCCGCGTAATGCCTCCGACGCTTGTCCTCAGATACGAGTGAATAGTCCATGAGCTTGATTTGGCGAAGGATGAACTTCTGAGTTGGGCCCGAATTATACCAAGAAACGGGGGAATGACAGGCCCGTGAAACAGCTGCAAACATTCGGTAGGAGTCTGTGGTAAATTGGTAATCCTTCATAAAGAACCGAACAACAGATACGCATGTTTCTTCATCACTGGCAATTAGAGCACAAGCTATTCTCCGGTATTAGTCTAGTTCAAAGCAGTAGGCAACAGGGACTTACTACACCAACACAATTGAATCAGAAACATATCCTCCCTCGAGTGACAAAAGACAATGGCGTCCTTTGCTGCTTCACAGATTTCATATGACGCCTTCGCTTGCCCGTCTCTAGCGAGGCATAGCGCATAGTCCAAGAAGATATCCAGCCACTTCCGAAATGAAATGCCTCTGTAGTCTTCTGGGATTTCGACAGATGGTAAATTGGTTTTAGTTGAAATATCCGCACCAAGATCTGCCGTTGTTAGCACTTGTAATTGTTTCAAATGGTAGAGTCAAGAACTTTTAGACAAACGTTCAGCCATGGCTGTAAGGTCGGAATCTAATGAAGTCTCTGCTTGAAGTCTGACATGCCCAGAATATCCGAGGAATCGAATGTACTTGTCCCATGGATAAAAAGTTTTGAAGCTTCTGAAGTCATCTGTCAAAGCCCTTGCAGCATCGCGCCACAACAACGAAGATGTCACATCGCCTGTTCTCATTCCATTCTGCTCCGATTTCAGTATTTGATATTGAGTTTGAAGTAATTCCGCAGTCTGTATGAGCTCGTCTTTCTGGATCCGGCTGGCTGAGGTGTGCACAGAGCGAGGTGTATATTCTTTACTAGCGGCCCGAGACACTATCGCTGAATTAGCATCACTACCCATCTCCACCCCCTTATCCATATCCGCGACCTTTTGTTTCTGGCGCTTTGTTTCAGGACGCAGGTTCTTCTTGACTTGAATAATCTCCGTAACGTAGTCAAATGCCTTCTCGGGTTGTTGAGTCCTCTCGTACATCCTCGCCAATTCCATGCGGGCATCAACATCGCCTGCATCGAGGTTTATAGCGGCTTTGAAGCTCTCGGCAGCTTTCAAGTCATCAGAAACCTTGAGAAAGCATCTCCCAATTTGCACAAGCAAAGGGGAATCTACAACGGCCGGAACTCGTGTCAAAGGCTGATAGAAACTCATGGCAGCTTGATGCAGCCCTGCTCTATACAATTGATCTGCTGCTTGGCGGAATAGATAAGAATAATCATCGGCGAGAGTATCATCTTGATCTGGGCCTTGAAGTACATTAAGATGAGCCTGAGATCGTTAGTTCCGTCAAGTCACCTGTGCAGTCTTACTTACCATTGCTTCAGGATGTTGCCCAAGATGTAAGCGATACAATCCCAACTTGACTCGGAATTCGTATGGAAGGCCGAGACCGTAGGTGGATGGATCATATTTTCCTTGAGTGAAATCTGGAACTTGTAACCTCCTCAAATCGTTGATATCCCACTCGCGATCGTCACCCACGACATCATCCCAAAAGGATTCCTCTTCACGTCCGAGGAGCCACCGAGCAAGGGACTTGAGTTCTGAGATTGCAGTGTAGTATTGTCTGGCAACTTCATGCAAAGTGATGTAAGCATCTGCATCCTCCCAGCCGAAGACAACCTCGGAGTCGTTGTCCGGCGCTCTGAATTGCAGCAAGCTATTTTTGTACTCTTGTATCGCAGTGTGGACATCGCCGACATCGACGCAGACTTCTGCAAGCTTCTGCAGCGCAGGTTTCCTCATCCTATCTCGCTTGAGGATCCACTTATACTCAGATATGGCCCGCTGGAGTTTACCATTCTCAATGAAGACCTCAGCTTTCTTCATCCGTGCCTCAAGATCATTGGGCATATGGCGGACCATCGTGGCACATGCATTTTGGGCAAATGCAATAGCTCTAGGCCTCTTGGGGCCTTGGATACGAAGACAGTAATCAATACATGTGAGCCAGCCTGAGATAATCTTCGGCCGGAAAGTTGCAGCCATATGAAAGCAGAGGGCAGCATGCTCCGAATCTCCGCGGTCGTTGCGAATTGAAGCGAGCGTCTCCCAGGCTTGTGGGGTTTCGGCATTGATTCGAATGATCTCCTCCAATTCTGTCACAGCTTCGTCAAACCTCTTATTGATGTATAGGTCATTAGCTCTGCTAATACGTAATTTGATATCTGGAGTAGGCTCAGCGGCTTTGCGGGGTCCCCTGTGACGACGGAAGATTTTTGTTCTACCTACACGTTGCCGAGAACGCTTTATGGATCCTCTCGATAGACTGTTGCCAGCGAGTAGTTTGCTGAAGTCGAGCTCACTGCTTTCGGGTGCGGCGAGTCTCTTCAGTAACTCGTCGCCATTTTGCAGACTAGCTAAAGATGCTTCAAATTCACGCACATCGTCATCAGCATCAGAGTCGGAAAGATCATCATCCTCACTGTAACGATTAGTCAGATGCTTGGAGAAATTGTAGACGAAATCACACTGACTCTGGCTCAAATTCGTCTTGGGAGCTCTTGCCAATGTCTACATCAGCCAAAGCTTCAGCTCTCTGTATGTGTCTCCCGTGTGTAGAAGCAACTTCAAATCCAGCCCTTTCTATGTCGAGATCCGGGTAATGCATAACCTTAGAAAACTCAGGCGCAAGATGCTGAGATTGGGATATGGAAGAGCGATCGTGTCCGAAATTGTACTGACTTGCGGCGGGTGTAGGTTGTTGGTGATTCCAGACTGGAATTTGGCTCTGGCTGAATCTAGGATCTGATGGGATTTTTTGCGCGCTGGGGCCTGGTGGATTCAATGGTAACGGGCGCCACATGTTGGAGGAGGTTCGGGATATGTATCTACCAGGAGAAAGATTTGAAAAGCATGTATTTGTTCAAGATTGCTGCAGATGTTTTGAGTTGCGATCGAACGGCGGGGTCAAAATGTGCTTCAGCCTTGTCTACCAGAAGCGGTTACTGTAGATCTACGCTGCAGGCATTAGGCTAGCCTCGCAGTAAGTATTTTCCCGAGGGCGTGACTAAGCATAATTGAACCGAGCACCACATGAAACCGACCAAGTCAAATATAAAGTGGTCATACCAAGCACTGTCAGCAGTTGCTTGAATTGGTAGCTAATATGATATGCACAAAAAACCTACTTAAGTATTCACTTGATGCATAGACTTGAACAGGCAAGGCAAGAAACACGTTTGTTATTTTCGTACAAATTCTCACGATTACCGTTTCCAAGTCTTGCCAAGGCTGCAAAGACCATGCTTCGAATGATATGAATCATTCTACTTCTCGTATGCAACACATATACGTTTAGCCAACCAGGGTTCACGTCGTTAATAACACTCATCTCCTGCGTAGAGCACTTGTCATCGACTCTTCAATTCTCCAGACCCTCGAATCCTTGTTAAAACTTGACCTGTGTCTCTAGATCAAGCGAGCTTGCCTTCTGCCTTGGCTTCTATGTTGATCATTAGCTATCTTTTCATATACTGTTGTCACTTGTAGCATTACCTTTGACTTGTTCGAAAACCTTCAGCATCTTCCTTCGTGCTCCCAGAGCGTTAACACCCCGTTCTTCCAAAGCCTTCTCATCCAACTCCACAAGCTCGGTCCAATTCATATCCTTAAGATTGTCCGTATACTTATGCAGCCTCAGACTTCGCAGCCAACTGGGAATGTCTTGCAGAAGGCTCGGGTCAGTGGGATCCTCGGGAGGTTTGGAGCTGCCTCGTCTACCACGTGGGGATCGACCTCGCACCATGTCACTGTGATCAGAAAGGTAGCCCTCGTGTCCGGTCAGACCAAATTGGCCCAGATTTAATGTACCCATGCCGTTATTCATGAGGGGAGAGGAACCATCGTAGGCTGCCAGAAAGCCATTGTTCTGCGGTGATGCAAAGCCCAGTTGTCCAAAACCGCCGCCTTGCATTGCCAGACCTGGTGAGCTGGGACGTGATCTCCGACCCGCGAACGCATTTTGTTGTGCTTGGAGAGCTAGTACTTGATCCCGGCTCAAGACTTGACCATGTTCATTAATCATTACAACGTTTGCTCCAGGCATGTTGTTTGGAAGACCGGGAGACAGGGGCCCTTGTCCACTCGATCCATGGCCGTCGTTTGACCTAGCTCGACGGTATTTTCGGACATCATCTAGGGCGAATCGATTGTTCACGGTCGACAGAGCTGCAAGTTTCATAGCAGTGGCATTGGCAACCATGTCAGCTTGAGTTGAGTTGTTTGTCGTATTGAAAGAAGGTACCATGGGTGTGTTGACCATAGAAGCCCAGTTGCCATTGCCAGCATTGTATGGCGACAGTAGCGGGAGATCTTGGTTCTGGTTTTCAGGAGCATTGATTGTGGTGTTTTGCAGATTTGTATTGCCGGAGATTGGAGCTGCAGGTGATCGAAGGCCACCTGAAGGGGGTGGTTGCATGAACTGACCCATTGGGGTTTGTCCAGCAGACGACTTTGGCCTAGCAGCCTGATCATTATTTCGAGAACCCCATGGTGATGGCGACGGAGCTCCATTGTCAGCGGAATCTGCAGGTCCAGATATAGTCGGGGCTGTCAGTGAAGCACGTGAGTCGTAAGCAGCGCTGTTTCTATTCGAGGATGGTGGATTTCCGGTTTGTTGAGTGAATTTTGCTTTCTCGGTAGCAATCGCCGCAGCGGCATCGGGAAACATTGCGTTGATTGTGGATGGATCGAGACCGGAATGTCTCTTGGCAGACGGCGTCGCAGGAGGTCTGGTCAATGAATTTCGGGAGGAACCATCCACACTGAGCTTGTTCATAGCATCACTGAGGCGGTTTGACATTGGGTCTGGTATGCAACGTTAGATCTATGAGATGGTAGTGAAGATGGGATGCACAAACCTTTGTCGAAATTTGCAGGAGACAGAACACCAGACATTGGATGATTCTTTCCCATCTGCTGCAGCACTTGGATGAAGAAGCGAATTTGCACTTGAGTAGTCTGCTGGAGTAGAGCATATAGAGCAGCAGTCCTCTCAGCCTCACTCAGGACCCTGAACCATTGTTCAATAGCACTGAGTTCATCCTTGAAATCTTGGTCGAGGGTCGCAGCTGCCATTTCCTCTAGCGTAGTCTCATACTGATCAATGTCCGCAATCCACTGCTGAGCGATCTTGTCAGATGCATCAGTCTCCGAGACTCCTTGTCCTTGATTCTGCTGAGTACCATAGAAGTCGGACGAAGGTCGAATTCGACTCGAAGAAGGTGATGTGGAGAATGCTGCCATATCCGCAGATGCTCTAAGACCGGAGCCTATGGCACGAGAAGACGGTGGACGCAGAGAAGAGCTGTTCGACTCGACAGGTGTGCTGTTTCGATTGCCTACGGCAGACATGTTGAGCATCGTAGCGGAGGAGCTGAAGAAGCTGATGCTAGAGAAAGTCGTCTTTGAACTCGGGATTTTCGAAATGTGAAACGAAGCCTTCAGATCTAACGCCGTGTCGAACTGTCAATGCACCAACGATCGTCTAGGGAAGACTACACTACACTCGGGGCAGTTTGTGGTCCGTGAAGAAGAGCTGTGTTTCGGAACGCTTTTATTATCCCAGGATCCAAGGAGTCCGATCAATGCCGTGATGGTCGTCGTACTGGACTCGGTGCGCGAATGTCCAAATATAGACGGTTGTGAGAACAGTCAAAGACGGTCGCTCGTCGCTCGTATGGGACAGTTTGGGACTTCGGATTGATTACTTGAGAGGATCAAAGAGCTCTCTAGCAGTACCTGCTGCTGAGCCTCTGCGAAGCACTGGTCAGCCTGTGCCCTTCGAAATGGAATGCCCGATCTTCACTCTTAGAATCAGAGGGCGACGAAGAAGCTCGAGTCTCGGATAAGGGGAGGACGAAGGGTCACAAAGCATACAGCAGAAGAGGAAAAATGAAAGCGCACAGCGTTGGAAGCCAAAGTTCTAGCGATGTTGAGTTGTTTGAAGGCTGGGTGAAGGAGACGTTGCCGCTTTTGTTGGCTAGGGCGACGATTTAGCGCCCTTTTTCAAGTTTCTTTATTCCGTGATTCGATCCGGACAGCACACCGAATCACAATTTCATTGTCTTCCAATACCAGTCATCAAGCTAGTTCAGATTCCGTCAGCTCAATGTTACAGCATATAAATGGGTGGTCACAGTGGTTCTTGGGCAATCACCGTGCTTTGATGCCTGGGCTTCTTATAAAAAGCAATTTATTAGTATCTGCCTCGGGACAAGTACAGAACCCTCTTCGATGAAATCTATTTGGCTGAGTTGAAGTGCATAGCTGTGGTGTAAGGCTACATGAGCGTTTGTGATAGTTGTCGAAATACCAGTGCTAGCTAAAAGGCTGTCTATCTCAATATCGGATGGACAAGACTTCTTGATCCATTTGTAGGCCCCCAAAGATCAAAGTTGAAAGTACCGATCAATTCGTCTTTGATTCGATACTTTCCCGTAGTATTAGACACCCTATATCTTCCCCCAGAATATATAACTCGATAAAATTGACGGTACAGGTGCATCGATGTAACCCAATCTTCATGCACCATTACCTCATAGAGTATAGAAGAAAGGTGTTTGGTAATGAAGGGGCTTGAAGTTTGATCTTGGCACGAAATATAATATCCTTGAGCAGATGAGCATGGAGAATGGCTCGGAATGCTCTACACACAAATGCCGTCTTGTTTTGATCACATTACCAGAACGAGGTGAACTGATGGGAGGAAGTCAGAGGATGACGGATGCTCTTGTTCTAATTTCGAAACAGAGCTATCGTCGAGAATCTGGTTGCTGCAAATGCGGATTTGCCCTTATCTGCCTCCAGAATGCGCCCTTGCCAATGCAAATTCCACTGCCGTAATCGAAAGAAGAAATCGTCGTGAGACTCATGACTTGTCGCCGCCCTCCTTCTCTGCCTTCTGCTAAGAAGTTAGCACCGTGTTGTAAGAAATCCAGGTATTGACCGCTTACCAAAGCTTTCATTGTACCGTGAAGGGCATGCCTATGGTTTCTTCGGAATTTCGGATCGGTACCCTTCAGAGATGGATATCTAGAGGTTTTGGGCTTCTTGATACTATTTGGTAAATCGTCAGGCAAGATCGTGATAAATAAGGTGTGAATGTCGTTTATGGTGCTCCACATACCCATTTCTATGAGCCTTCTTCGATTGATTATGCTGAGAGCTGTTCTTGGACTCTGTTTGAGGGTGAAGTCAGCATAAGAGTAGAGTGTAAGGTGCGAAAGGCGAGGAGCAGGGTAGAAATAACGCAGAAGCGCACGAGTATAGAGTGACCGGCAATATCGCATGACAAACGAAGATGCCAGCACGGATTGTAGACTGTAGGAGAAATGCGGTGGACTTACTCGCCATTGTGTCGACGGTTCTCTTGGTGCAGTCTCGAGAATTGTTGTTTCTTGACGTGCTAGAAGTTCTCGATATACTTCTTCCTGAAATCCGTTGTGTGGGAAAAGTAGCCATGAACAGCTTAGCCGAAGCACGGACCTTGCTCAAATCATCACGTGCGAAGTCAGCAATTCCGTTCAATTCCAGGTTTATGGAAGATGAGGAGGGAAAGTTTAATTATGGTAGAAAAGTCTTTTCGTATTCAAGTTGGCAATCGGAACCTGTTGAACAGAGTCGCTATCTCAACCTCAGCTTTGACAGTAAACGCCTTCTTATTTACTTTAACCCTATGCCGTCTTGTGACTCTTGTTCTTCCAGCCCAAGTGCTTTCCTCTTAGACATCACCTAGTAATTTAAATCCTATCAGGTAGCAGCATATTGTGCGTTCGAAATTCAAAATTGGTCAAGTGCAATATTGAATCACCCAAGCGTGGAAATTCAATGGCTGACTTGACTCTACAGAGACTCCACAAATCATAGGTATGCAAGAGTCAAAGAGCCGCAACTGAAAAGCTCCTCTTTTCTAACTTCCTAATCCCAAGATCTAATAAACTGATACCCCTTCCAATTGAGGGATTCCAATAAGCAATCGGGTTTGTCTCTTACTCTTTACCTTTAACACAGCGAATTCCAACTCTGGCCATTAGTTAAACAGTCGAAGTAGACACTGGCCATAATAACATAGATCATCGTCACTTTTTGTGATACAGCGGTGCTATGTTTGAGAGTTCTGGAATTGCACAGTAATGCAAAGCGCCTTACAGAATTCATATATACTCACGACCAGTAATATATTTACACAACGCCTGACCGTTCTAAAATCCGGCCCTCACTTATATCTGAGCTCGTCATAACCAGGAAATTGCATTAGTTCTATTGTCTACTTCGTAACCAAGGGTAACACTTGCTTCGCTTTTGAAGCAGCAAGATCCGCAGCCTTCTGGAGCTGCTCAGATCTCATCTTCTTCAAATATCGGAATAATACAATGAAGAGAAGTTCCATCCTGTTCTTTGTCAGCATCGAGGAATGTGAGAACGCGAAGAAGGCATACCGTTCTTTCGTCATCATAAGAAGGCCTTGTACGATAAGACCTTTCGAGATCTGAGGGGCGATACCCTTAAACAATCCTAGCCACCCTTCGTTGTGGACAATGAACTGCATGACTTCAATGAAGCTCTTGAAAGGTTTCCCTCCACGAGATGGTGGTGGTTTCGACTGAAGTCCAACCTTAGCCACAATGAGGGGTTGTGTTGCAATCGTCGCAAGCGATTTAGACATAGCTCCTAGCACTGAGGAGGGAGATTATTAGCAAGCAATATTTGGATGGGGGAGGCACTACCCACAGAAAGCTTCCCAGGGTCTGAGATTGAGCTTGCCAGGAAACATAACCTCCCGCAGTCTTTGATAGGCACCGTATGTAATGGCAGGATTCACAACCAATACCAAACTAGCCTTAAGACCTCTCCAAAGGCCACTCCATCCATCTTCACTATCGATAACGTCCTTGGCCGTGTCTATCATCCCCTTCCTTTCGCCTTTTCCTTGGGTCTGTTGACGGGTTGTTACGACAGCGACCGGGATTGTAAAGATCTGGGCAACTGCTCCTGCTACCGCACCCAGCGAGAGTTCAACTGCCGTGCTTGGTGGACCCGGTACTTTCTGCGAGGACAGATACAGAGTCCGAACAACGGAATACCAGTAGAAGTATGCAAAATTCGTTGAGGCCACACCAATAAGCGCACCATTCATCCCAGCGTAGAGGCCGATAAGTCCATCGTCTGCAACAATCTTGGAGATTGCATCCCAGGTTGAAGTGTAATGCGTAGCATCGACACCTGTTGGAGCAGGGTCACTTGGGTTTCGTTTGACTTGCACTTGGAGGCGGGTTTTGACTCTGAAGATGCCATGAATTAGCAAGAATGCTACACGAGGTCGAGTTGCGGTTGACCACATCCATATCCGAGGTGCTCTCACATGTCTAGAGGATATACGATTGCATTCGCAATCACTGCGCCAGTGGCGCCAGCGACGGCCAGTCCCCAGGGAGGAATCAGGGCCTCTTTCGATTGCCCAGCCATCGTGAAGGTGCTCGAAACTGTGGGAGTGGTGTCGATCGAGGAAGCAAGCTCGATTGCCAGGAAACAATGCGGGATCTAGGAAGGGCGGGCTCACGAAACGACTGAACGTAAAGAATTGGAATATGATTAAATAAGAGTAGAACAGCAAAGAATAATGCTCCCAGGCATTCTTGACCTTGGACAAGGAAGGATAGGTCGTGATACAAGAAGTTTATGGTTCAACCACCTTCGTACCGAGGCAATGAAGTCTTGCCGTGCGACTCGGATGTGCGAACGTACCTAGTTCTAGTCTAGTACAGTATCCCGTGCTCGACAATCCATGCCCGTGCATCCCCATACCTCCATCCATACATATGCATCATTCACAAGCAAATCGAGCAGATTGTTGAGCTCAGAGTACAGGAGGCTTGGGTACAGTGGCTACATTATATCGTCCGGACCGACATACGGTACGAACAGGGCGGTCCGAAATCCTTCTGTAGTCACTGACCATAGGCTGTGCTTCAAGTGCTGAAGTCTATGGTCTCTTTCCGTCTGATCTTGTGCTTGTTTCACCAGACTGTGTCAGCGTCGCGGTTATTTCGACTGTCGTGGGACAGCAATCTCCATCTTCTGTAAAGCTTTCTCGAATTGGTCGGTCCCTCTTCGAGATATAATCAGCATCTGAGAAGAAAAGTACGATAATGCTCACCAGAGAAGCCATCCGCCATTATGGAGGCTAAAGCTGTGGTAAATGCTGAAGCCACGATCAGGGACTATCGATTACGGTACTGACGCTACCAGGTAGCAGCGTCCAGTGTAGAAAGCTCCCTGACAAAGGAGGAGGCTTTGGAAAATGCTATCCGTGCGGTTGAGCTGTATATGAGGGCAGCCGAGCATGCAAGCAGTGGCGAAGAAAAATCAAGGCTCCGAGGAAAGTGTAAGCAGTTACTCTCCCGGGCTGAAGAGATCAAGAAGTCGACCAAGTGGTCTCCGAAGCCGAAGAGCAGACCTCCTGTTCTCGAATCCAAAAGGTCCATCTCCAAGCGTGAGGAGGTCATTCTACTAGAGAGCTCCAGACTCCATGGTTTCATATTCCCGCAGTGGAAATCAGACCCCGATGAATCAATCTTCGTCGGGGAAACCGATGCTGCGAAGTATATGTACGTTTTCCACTACGCCCCAGCAGAATGTTGGTTAATGTGGGGTAGCGAGCCTACTGATCTCAAACTGTCCGATGCTCAGAAGGAGATATTCGATGACTGGAAGAGACCATCCGAGAATCTGATGAGTCAGGACGAGCTATTGATGGATGTCATAGATAATATCGACTTAGTGCAAGACATTACGACAGATTGCTCTGTTGTGGCGAGTCTTTGTGCGGGAACTGCAAGGGAGGTGAAAGGTCATGAGATGGTATGCTATACCGGGCTCATTATATCACGAAAGACTGCTGACAGTCATAGCTATTTGCTTCTGCTATACATCCTTTCGATGTGTATAAAGCTCGACCCAAGATTTCTAGGAGCGGAAAATATATCTTTCGGTTGCACTTCAATGGTTGCTTCCGACAAGTAACTATTGACGATCGACTTCCTGCGTCAAAGACTGCAAGAAGTCTACACGTGGTTGACCGAAATAATCCCCAGCTTCTTTGGCCCGCTTTGATCGAGAAGGCCTATCTCAAAGTTCGGGGCGGCTACGATTTCCCAGGCTCGAATTCAGGAACTGATCTTTGGGTCATCACCGGATGGATTCCAGAACAGATCTTCCTTCAGAGGTGAGTCTTACACTACCGAATACCTTGTGGGTTGCTGACAACTTCTGTCTATAGTGATGATGTTCAACCGGAACAGCTCTGGCATCGAGTTCATAATTCATTTGTTTATGGGGATGTCATGCTGACGCTGGGAACGGGAGGGCTGTCTCACAGAGAAGAAAGGGAGCTCGGTTTGGCAGGAGAGCATGACTATGCGATCCTAGATATGAAAGAAGTTGGGAAGCAGAGAATGATGCTAGTCAAGAATCCTTGGTGTGATGGTATGATATGGAAAGGCTCGCAAGTAAAAGTCGACTCTGCCGGAGATGAGTGGTCCAAGGAATTGCGTGACGCACTTCCCACAAGTAACCCCCCGTCGCCGGGAACTTTCTGGATGAGTTTCGAGGATGTTGTACAGCATTTCGAATCTCTTTACCTTAATTGGAATCCTGGATTGTTCCTATACCGTCAGGATCATCACTTCTCGTGGACCATCCCAGTGATAAAAAGTCCGGGTACCTTCACGCACAACCCACAGTACTCCTTAAGATCTGCACGACAAGGGATAGTCTGGGTTCTACTCAGCCGCCACTTCGCAACCAAGGAGCACGATATCGCCAAGGAAAGACCAAACACGGCATCAGCAGCATCAAATACACTTGGCTTTATCAGTCTCTACGTTTTTGAGGCCAATGGTCGAAGGGTATATCTTAGCGACAATGCCCTCCATCGTGGAGCGTTTGTCGACTCACCACAAACACTTGCACGACTTGACCTCTCCGCATCAACGTCATATACAATCGTGGTAGCCCAACAAGGCCTACCATTGCCGAAATATTCCTTTACACTCTCGTTCTTCTCTCGAACGCAAATCTCAGTTGAGGATGCCGAAGACAGAATCCCACATTATATCACACATGCGGGAGCGTGGACACCTCGCACGGCAGGTGGAAATGCTAGTTCTCCCCACTACCCCAGCAACCCCCAATTCAGCATCTCAATACCTTCCCGCACGGACATCACTTTAATTCTGGAGACAGATCAAGAAGAACTTGCCGTTCACGTGAAAATGGTTTGGGCAGACGGACAACGCGTGACGGCTGTTACTTCGAAAGATATAGTTGGAGGGTCAGGCGATTACAGGCGTGGATGCGCATTAGCATCCATTCAGGATGTCGCTCCTGGTAACTACACCATCGTATGCTCCACGTTCGAAGCTGGACAGACTGGAAATTTTACCTTGAGGGTAGGGTCCATGGTGCCTTGCGTGGTGAAGGCCGTCCTAGCAGAAACAGCAGGTCGTCTAAGCCTTAGTCTCCCACCAATCGTCTTCCAAAACGGACTCAACAGGATGCTTGCACCCCTGACTGCTGCTCGATTGACAAGGCTTAGGATAGTGGCTAGATGTGGGGGCGGCGGGCGACTGGCTCCATCTTCGAGATCCCGGCCTTCGCTTAAGGTTTCGTTGGAAAGGGGTCAGGGTCCAAATAAATCGATACTGACCGTGTCGGGTGAAGGAGAATTCAGTGATTCTCCCATGGGAATAAGAACTCCTGATTTGGATCTAAGTCCTAATATGAGCCAACCTGGCGGGATATGGATAGTGTTGGAACGTCTGGGTGGGAGTAACGGCTCGGATGAGGTGGCTGTTGAGGTGCTGAGCGACAGTCCTGTCAACGTGGGTCTCTGGGGAACCGGTGATGGTTAAGTATCACAAATACTAGTATCTAACGAGGGTTTCTCGGGCAACGTAGGCAAGATGAATGATTGCACAAACCGTACAAAAGGTGAGTTTTGTGATCAGAAAAAGGTATAAACACGAATCCTAAGAATGCTACCCACAGTCAACGACAGTCAGTATGAAGCCCCAAGCCACCCACGCTAGCGAAGCACCGTCTTCTTTGGTATAAGGTAGCCACCATGCTCCAGAAACTCCAAATCGTAGCTCATGAATGTGATATCCGCCCTTGTGACAAGACGCCTTTCGTATAACGCCAGTAAATCCACAGATGTGCACAGCAACAACCAACCTATGGCCCATATATTTTCTCCGTATCTTTCATAACCCTGTCGAGGGCGGCTCAGTTGGCAACCGTTCGCAGAGCCTTACCCGAGGGGTGAATGGATAATTTTATGAAGTACCGCCCCGCCGCCGTCTGCCCCTGCTTGGACCTTCTGGTCTCTGCGAAAGCACTTCCCTTAGTTGAGGGTCGTCTTTATCCTTATCCACGTGATGTACCCTGACGTGTCTATTTTGTGAATCAGTACCTTCTCACCAAAATCTACGACAGGCAGCCTCTCAAGCAGCTGTAGCATATAACTTACCTCTGAAGATTGTCGGGTCTTGGGTACTTGTGTTCTCGGTCTGGACAAAACGGGCACACATAACCAGGCGAATCATGCACCAGCCCGTGCCTAATCATTTCATTCTTCCTCTTGAAGCCTTTACCTCCTTCACTTCGGGGACAGCCCTTTACGCTACAGTAATGTGGTCGATTCGAAGAATGGACGTTGGCATGAGAATTAAGAAGGTACTGCTAGAGTGTCAATATTGGGTTCTTGAACATATGGGATATTCTTATATACTCACTTGCGTCTGGAACGGTTGTGCAGTACATCCAGGGTAGGTACACTGAAACCCACCAATCTGTGGATTAGTGATGCCATCAATGCTCATACGATCAATCCCCATAATCGCAGGGGTTGAGCCGGACTGATCAGTGCTCGGTGTCTCAGTATTACTACTGCTATAATCTGGGCTGGTATATTGATGACCTTCGGTCTGTGATGGTCTCCGGTGGTGGTTGGCAAAAGAGTAGAAATGTCCCCTACCCGGTGACGGCAGCTCTCTCCGTGGGAAGGTATCATTTGGTGACTTCGGTGGAGATCCATGACCAGGTACAGCTGCAAATTGAGGAGGCGGTCTTCCAGGCGGAGACTGTGAGAAGGCAGAGTTGCTAGCAGATGGAGGCTCTGGAAGGTGATTGATGTCTCCAAGCTGATCAGATATAGATGGTAGCGTTATTTGACTAGACCCATTCCCATTTGTGAGACCAGATTGTGCTATAGTGTGAAGAATTGGGGGTAATTCTCCAGGTCCAACGGGAGCGGCTGGACCCTCACGTTTGATAGCCGCCTCGTCTGGAGAGCGCGCACCTTCCCCATCAACGTATAAAGTTGTGATTGAAGGTATTGTCGGTTTGACGCCTTCCATCGCATCCGCTTCAGGTTGAGGTGGCGACGCTTTGGATGCTGAACCACCATCCGTAGCGGCCTGTTTTTGAGGCACTTCTGCAGTGACATCCTCGGTATGAGCTAGAGCTCCAGCAGCAAGCGCAGTCAAATAGGATCGTCCTTCCTCTGCGGCAGGAACTTCAGTAGTATTCGTCGTCGCATTCGTCGCAGGAGTCTCCTTTTCTGCCTCTTTTGATACCTGCACTTCATCTTCTGCGACTTCCTTCTCCGTCATTTCCTCGTCCTCAGTCACAACCTCGTCGTCGTCGTCGTCTTCCTCCTCCTTTTCTTCCACCGTCACGGCGACCCCTCCCTTCATCGGTTGATCTTCCGTCGCCTCATTGTCAGAAGCCAGTGGCTGCTGTCCCGCGTCGCGCGCGATATCAGAATGTTTTCCTCCAGCCATGAATGACACCAAGACCGCATCGCCCTGGCTCGGGTGATACTTCGGTCGAGAAGGACCTTTGCGGCTCGGCGAGCCTGGACTCGATTCGGGACTATCTGAGGGGATTGGAACGGTCGGCGGGGGACTGGGCGAGGGTGCAAGGTTAAATTTCACGGGTTTGAAGGGAGGAGAGTGCTGTCCAACATCGTCCGGATCGTAGATATCGTCGTCAGGGCGGAGATGGTCGACAGTAGTCATCTCTCTAAATCGCCATCTGAAAGTAGCGCGCCAAATGGGAATTGCACGGCGGACGGAGACGACGACGGGTAATCACAGCAGCATAATCAGCCAGACGTAAACGGCAAGCTTGCAGTGGAACGGAAGAGTAGTAGAGGTGAGGAGAGGAGGGTAAGTAAGGGCAAGGTTGGTCGGCC